TGAGCGCGTGCAAGGGAAATCGACAGACAGTAAAGCATATACAGAGCAAAAAGAAGCAAAGAGTGCTCCTCATAGAGCAGTATATTGATATCATTCAGACAGTAGTAGATAGGAAATCCAGAATGATTGTGATGATACAGAGCAGAGTCGTCAAGTATAAAGCAGCTGCAGAGACAAACAATGATATCATCCTGCATTACAAAAAAGTGAAATGAGAAACGAAAAATACACCGTCGCTAAAGCAAAGCGAGGCATTAGTTGGCAAAATCGGATGGGCTTTTGGATGCAACGTGATAGACCCAAAAATGCGAGCAGAGAGCCGACAATAACCTCTCAATCAAGACGCCTTCGTCAACACAATAAAAAAGAAACAATGCAGAAGAAAAGGTACATGTGGCAAAAGTCACAAAGGAGTGAAAGAAGACCCGCCCTGCAATGCAACCGGAAAATAAAAGGTAGGCTGAGGAGCTCGGAGTGGAAAATGAAGAGAAGAGAAAAAGAGACCATCGTCACAGAGAGGCTCGTCTGGGATGGCTCTGGAAATGGAAGGTCGCTGCCTTATGGTTTTAAGGTATGCAGATTCTTCTGAATGATCATGTCCTCTACTGAATCCATAGTCGCCTTGAGCAATGTGGTGTCTGTTGCATTGGTGTAATGGATATAGATTTCGCGGTCTGGGATTCGGTTGATGCCACGGAACCTGTCCGCAAAGTACCGCGCAGCAGCATCATAATCGGTGTCGGAGCCATGGTAGTCTGGGAAGTGCTTCGAGATAGGAGAGATGGCAAGCTTCCCCTTGAACAAATCGATCTTGTTGAGGAAAAGGATGATTGGCTTACGCTTGAACCATTCACCGTTGACTAGAGATTCGAATAACATCATGGCTTCGTGCATTTGGTTCTGTGGTGGGGATTAACGCTGGTCGAGAGAGCATGGGAGATATTGCGCTTACAGCGTTCTGGTAGTCCACCAGACATTGGTCATATCCTGACAAGGCGACCATGAACAGTAGACACTGAACACCCTCGAAGCAGTGGATCCATTTCCTCCGCTCTGATCGTTGTCCTCCGACGTCCATCATTCGAAAGTTCATTTGCCCAAGTTCGAAAAGAGTTTCCGTGATACCGGTCGTCCGTAGTCGAGCTTGGAGCACGTCCTGGTTGTCCGGAAGCCAACCTGGTGTAAATATGCGATCCAGGGATTCATAGACACTGCGATGGTTAGTTTGGGCCCATGTAAGACACATGTTCCGAAATTGACTAACTAGTACAGGTTGTCATGGAGAGCGAACTTGTGCCCTCGCGCAACAGCTGTCTACACACCTGTATCCTTCCACATCGCCCTCATAGCATCCCGAATCGTCAGGTCTGAGAAAGCCTCATCCGATCCTACATCTGGGTGGGTGTTGTCTAATAACTCCGCGTATGACTTCCAAACTCGTTAGCCAAAGCACACTTCTTGTGACAAGAATGTCAAGTACCTTGGTCTTTTCCTCATTCTCGAAATTGATACCCTCGGCATTCATAATATCCAACAAGACCTTGAAGGCGATGACAAGGTTCGAGTAAATAACGGCACGCGTCGTATACCGCTCCTCCTCAGGAAATCCTCGACTGTGAATGATGCGCATCTGCTTGATAATGGTCGATTTCCCAGATTCTCCCGCGCCTGGCCAAGTTGTCAGTACTACACTCAAACAAACCGACATGGATTCACTCACCTAGTAGCAGAATCTTGATGGTCCGGTCGAGCGTCTTCTTGTCATTCTTGATACCCCGTTCTACGCGCGTATTGCGCTGCAGCGCCTCCTTATCCGCCTCCGCCGGTGTCGAAACTAAGCAGCCCATGATTCAGGTTGAGGATAGATTATCTACCGCGATGGTTGTTAGTAACGATTCATTGCAAGCTGAACTGGTGCGACGACAGACTCGACACATTGGGTGTGCACGATCTGAGTCAGGGATGCGACTGGATTGCGCCACCTCGGGTGTCGACAGTCGAAGCTCAAAGACACAAGACCCGAACCCGACCATCGGGACCGAGGGCGTGGAGGTCGCCTACCTTCATAAAAGACCCGCGATTATACACCCGAAGCCTACCTTCACTGAGAAATGTGATAGGCAGACGCTTGAAGGTTCAATTGTCCCCACACCTTGCGACCACGTTCCGTTGTGAATTCGGAGCTACTCCATTAGATGGGGACGTGAGTGAGTCGCGCTAAGGCCTTAGCAGTGGGGCTAAGAAACAATTGCCAGACGTGTATTGGTTAAAACAATTTCAAAATTACGGGCTAGACGTGCACACAGAACACCGACACTTCCTGGCTGCCCGGGATGGCTACAGGCTATTGGCCAGGATGGCCCATATGTGAAGAATAACTCGAATACAGCACGTAGTGACAAAAGGTAGAAGTCCCAAAACAAATGAGATTGACTAAGAGAGAAACCAAAGCTGTGGCCGTATTGCTTATGGATGAAGGGCACTGAGACACACGGTAGATAAAGCAGAGTAGGATGATACTGCCACATAAATGGAATCTCGGGTTGACAGAGCCGTTGGTATGCACGAGTGTGCTTCGGGGTTTCGAAAAGCGACAGCTGGTTTCCATGTCGACAAAATAAGTTGTCACAGAGAAATTTATGGAATGAGGAATTTATGGCAACATATAGGTACAACAATGCGAAGAGTAGACGGGATAGAAAGCCTTCAAACCGGTGGCAGGGCCCGAGTAAAGAAGGCCTTTCCATGGGAGACACATCTTCATTCCATTACAGTATGCTCAGTCTCACTGTCATAGTGAAAATCAATCACACAGTCGGCTTTTGAATTTCAGTGCTCTGTTAGCAGCCCATTCAATGGTGGCGTTGATGATCAATCTCGCGGTGTTGATGGTTGGTGAATGTGCCTCATATTAGTGGCTTCCTGGTGATGAACGGTCCAGGAGATATATATTCAATCACAACGCATTTTCCACATTCGTTTGAGAGCTCAGAAATTCCAAAAAGTAAATAGAGTAAAACCTAGAGGATTAAAAAAGAAAATCGAAAAGAAAAGGTATCTATCTCAACCATGATCACAAGTTCAAAAGTTGACTTTTCCCGTCCGTCAACAAGGACGGCCAAGCTTCAACGGGTGATGGGTTGAGTACCCGTGCCCGCGCGACCGCGGCCTGACGCTTTCCGCAGCCTAGACGGACAGAACCACACACAGGGCAGACAATCAACACTCGAGCGAGGCCAGAAAATTTCCATGTTCCTTGGATGAAAATGTGAGCGCTCTTGGTAAAATCAAAGAATGAACAGCTTCCATTGCCTCAATATTAAGACCGTAGATTCAACAGTGAGCCAACGTTTCTTAACCGACTCACTTTGACTCATTCTCTACTTGATTCTAGCATGTTTTCTCGGTGAGCATCTAAAATCGCACCAAGAAATTAGCTGCAAATAGTTGCGGTAGAACGAAGATATGAATTGCAACAGGCCTCACTTAGGATAGGCGTCGTGTCTGTTGAGTATCGCGGTGGTCAAAGCTTATGGCAGGACTAGCGATGGACATTTAAATAGACGGGATTCCCACTTTTGATAGTACACTCAACAAGAACACTACAACTACCTATCTCAACAGTGCTGTTGAGTATCGCAGTGGTCAAAGCTTATGGCAGGACTAGCAATGGACATTTAAATAGACGGGATTCCCACTTTTGATAGCAACCAAAAACAAGAACACTACAACTACCTATCTCAACAGGTTATGAGCCCGGGTGGCTTTACCTTTGGGCACGCAGGCATATCAAGAAAAAAAAAAATCCTTTCCCTGCCTTTACAGCTAAGCTTCTCTATCAGAAACTAACTCCATGAATTTCAGAAACTGATCATATATTCTCAGTAACTTGATGAACAGTATGAAGTTCTATTGCTCAAAACCCTCTCAAAGCAATAACCTGGATGAACTTCCATTCACTGAAGACTTACAGACAGCATGCCATCAATGCTACTGTTACACTGTCACACTGGCACGGAGTATCGCAGGGTTGTCCCCATAGCCAGGACATGTCACCGTTTGCAGCAAGCCTCGGGAGTTTCTCCGGCAAATAGTCATAGACAGTATGCCATTATTGCTACGGTTACACTATGAAGCTGGCATGAGGTACCGCAAATGTTACCTACTGCCGGGACATGTCACCATTTGCAGCAAACTCGGTAACCATCTTCTCAGAGTCACCAGCCACAATGCCATTTCGGAAGAAAAATGCGGAAAACACTACAAAAGAGACACTCTTGGACGGACGAGGAGCTGAACATCCTCTCATACCTCCGATACACTCGCCATTGGCGCTTCAAGAAAATCCAAACGTCCTACTTCCCATCACTTTCTCCGAACGCACTCTTGGGAGCCTACTGGCGCCTGTCCACCGAAGACCGCATACGTCGAGCATCGAGGATCACCACCTCAATCATCGCTCCTCGCAACACTGGAGAAAACCTCTCAGGTTCCCCCCAAGCTCAACCCACATGTTCCAGTATCGCACAGGGGACAAGTCGCTATCGCACTCTTGCTCAGTCAGAAAACAACATTGAGACTTTGGCCTTCACCCCACCAAGCCCTGCGGGTGGAGGGGATCCATTCATTTCCGACAACAGCAATTCGAGTCGTTACAAACTCAGGCCAAACAGACCCTCAATCTTCCCTCCAAGGAAGCCGGGATATCTTGTTGACCGACGCCGTTTCCCCCACTCCTTTAGATCGTACAAGTACTCTCTCAATCTACAAGGAGTTCCGGACAGCGACTATACTCCTCCATCTCGGATGCCTACGCCAGGTTCATCAGATCGAAGCGTTTCCATCGTCTCAAGTCTTCCCAGAGCCGCGTCAAGCCTTGAACTCTTTGGCTTGGAGGTGCGCTCGCCTCAGTCATCAAATAGTGAATCGGTTACCTCTGATCGGCCCAACGACATATCTAGCCCTGAATTCTTCAGCTCCGAGGAGCATCCTTTGCCGACATGACTGAAATCACAAAGTTTGAGCAATTCGGAATCAATACGTTCTATAACGGAATCCCAACATTAGATAATGCCAGCGACTGGTTTCGGTGGAATCAGAAGGTCAATGAGTTCATTCGGATATCTGCGGTTGCCGACGATGGAGCGACTCCACCGATAGAAGAGGAAGAAGCACGGCAATGGATTCACCGCCAAAATTTCTATTCTGCGATGATCACGGCAAAGCTGACACACAATGCGGCGCAAAGAATTAATGCCTTTGAGATTCCTCGAGTCCAAGTACTGCTTAAGGCAGTCAAGGACAACTTCAAACCAGAAGGCTCAGGCACGTATGTTAACCTCCAACGGCGATACATGGCCCTTACAAGAGACAAGTGTGGGAGCACTCAAGCCCTCGGAGCAGAGATCAGGAAGATCCATGCTGAAAAACTCCTCCTTGACTCTGATTGCGTAACCTCCGAAATTGAGCGAACATTTTTCTTCGTGCATGCACTCGGTCCGGAGTACGAGAGCTTCCGCGATCATATCTTCTGACAAATGGACCTTGTCAATGAAAGAGACGCAAATGGGACCGTCACGAAAGCGGCGCCCACGTTTGACTATATCGAGAATAAGGCAATTGAGGAAGAGCATAGGAAGGGGCAATTGGGTAAAAAAGCAATGGAGACGCAAGCACTTCCTGCTCTTGCTCTAGTCCGTGGGCCAGGTGACAAGAAACTCATCCCGTCGTCGGACGGAACTACTTGTCGAATCGAGATCGATAACGTCCCATATTGCTCCTTCTGCCGAAAACCTTATCACGTTGACTCCGAATGTTTCACCAAGAATCCGAAACAGAAACAGAAAGACGGAGATGGACCGAAGCCAAAGCCAGGCAGGATGCATACGGGCACACGCAAACAGTTGAAGAAGCGGCCTTCGACGGATGACGAGGATGATGATGCCGGTGGTCCAAAGGATCCAAAGAAACCAACTTTCATGGCGACGAGAGTCTCCGAGAAAGATGTCAACGAAGCATTTGGAAACGATATCGAGGGCAATTTCGCCCTGTCCGACCATATTCCCATAATGATGGCGATAAAAACCCTCTCTATTCGCGACGCGTGGATCGTGGATAGTGGATGCGCTCAGCACGTCTGCAATAGTGCCTCGAGGTTTGTCCAAATGGCCAAGTACCATGGCCCCTCACTTACAGGCGTTGACACCTCAACGGCTCCCTCAGGAGTGGGAACAGTGAATATCCTTTGCAATGTACGCGGCAGAAAGAAATGGCTTGTGCTTGATAACGTCCTCTATGTTCCATCTGCACACGCCAATCTCATATCGGTGCTCCAGCTTCTCAAACGAGGAGCAAAGGTCGAATTCTCAAGCCGGAGTGCTATCATTCGCAACAAGTCAAACGAAAAGAATCTATATACTGCCAACGAATATCATGGAGTCTACGCACTCGATCTGTGGACAAGTCTGACTTTTCCCTCTTACCATGTTAGCCCGCAAATGTCTCTGTGGCACAATCGACTTGCTCATATGAGTGATGCAAATCTTCGGCGACTCAAAAAGCAGGCTCACGGTGTTCGGGACATGGAGCCACGTCATCCATGCAATTCGTGTCTGCAGGGGCGAATGATCGAAAAACCCCACCGCAGATCAGGAAATAGCAGGAGAGGCAAACACGCAATGGAGCTCCTCCATATTGACGTTGCAGGGCCATTTGACGAGGGCCTTGACGGCAGTCGTTACTGGCTCACCATCGTTGACGATTTCACGGGCTGGATCGAGATTATCCCTATACCACGAAGACAAGAGTTCGTCATAGAATCACTACGGTTCTTCCTCGACCACAATGAGCGCCCCGAACGAAAATGCAGGCGAATACGTCTCGACAGAATATCCGAACATGTGGGAGACGAGATGAAGTTCATGTTGTTCTCGCGCGCAATTCAAGCTGAGGTGACAGGAGTGGATCAACACCAGCAGAACGGGGTCGCTGAAAGAGCCCACAAGACTATTTACGATAGGGTTGGGCCTACGCTAGCACATGCGAGGTTGCCGTCTAAATTCTGGCCGGAAATTGCTCGAACCGCAGCGTTCCTCTCCAACCGGTCGCCGTCATCGAAGCTCAACATGACTCCGTACCAAGCGTGGTATGGCGACAAGCCTGACCTATCACGACTCAGAGTGATCGGATCCAAAGGGGAATACTTGATCCCGCCAAAGCAAAGAAAGAAGCTCACGGATCCGCGAACAAGGCCATGCATTTTGCTAGGCTATGAAGGAAATACCAACTACCGTATCCTCCTGGAAGACGGAAGAATCGTTGGGACTCCAAACGCCGAATTTCACGAAGTCCTTACAGCTCCCTCCACACAGACTATAGAAGATGTGGGAGCCAGACAAGAAGGCTTACCTGAGGCAACGGCTGCTGCCGCAGGGGAGAGTGAGACGGTGGGACTAATAAATCAACCGTCGGTAGGCATCCGGCAAGCATCCGTGCCTGCTTCGGGGCGCCAATTGTCAATGGCACCATCGGAGCGGGCCCTACCTAAGCCGAGAAACGATATCTCGCACATACTGCCTCGGAGTAACGATAACTCGCGAGTGCTTACCCAGCCGAGTAACGATAACTCGCAAACCCCAACGTCGTCTCAATCGAGTAACGAAGACTCGCAGCCAGCTGTTGCTATACAGGGAGACAGGACCTTGTCGTCCATACGGAGTGACGATGCCCTCGGACCCCTATCACCTGCTTATCAGGATTCTGTCCTTGGGATTGACTCACCACCCGGTGGCGACCAGCAACAAGACGACGCTCAACAAGGGCTAAGTTCAGGAGAATGGCAACGATATCCAGAACTCCAACTTGAACTTGACAACCCAGTTCATGAAGTGCAACCAGGAGCACTAGATCATCACCCTGAAATGAAGATTCGTGCTCCACAAGTCACACTAGACACGTCTGATGAGAGCGAAGAAGAGCTTGCACTAATGAATATACCCGAAGAGAACATCATCCCAACACTCTTAACGGTAGCTGCAGAGGAAACAGAACCCTTTGAGCCAAAGAACCTGCATCAAGCGAAGAACGACACAAGCTGGCTCGAATGGAAAAGGGCAATGCTTGAAGAAGTGAACTCACTCAAGCAAAACAAAACGTGGGAGCTTGTTGATCCCCCCAAAGACCGGCGAGTTCTCAGTGGAAAATGGGTCTTCAAACTCAAACGAGGGCCTCACGGCGAAGTACTCCGCCATAAGAGCAGATGGGTGGTGAGAGGTTTCACACAAGAAGACGGTATTGACTATGATGAAACCTTTGCTTCGGTTGTCAAGCCAATGAGCTACAAAGCCCTCTTCGCAATCGGAGCGGCCCTGGACTTCGAGATCGAGCAAATGGATGTCAAAACCGCATTCTTGTACGGACATATAGACCACGAGATCTACGTCGAACAGCCCCATCACATGACGGATGGCACCCCAAGGGTCTGCAAGCTTCGAAAAGCCCTCTATGGATTAAAGCAGGCTCCTCGCATCTGGTACCAGACCCTCACGAACTTCCTGCGCAATCTTGGCTTCGAGCCAATCACCGCCGATCTTGGTATCTTCGTTCGGAGCAATATGTACATCGCGGTGTATGTTGATGATCTCCTGATCGTGGGTCCGAGTATCGCAGAGATCAAGAAGATCAAGCGGAGCCTAAGGAACCGTTTTCAGATGACAGATCTGGGCCCATGCAGCTACTACCTTGGGATATCCATCCAGCGAGACCGCCAAAACAGGAAACTGTCCCTCAGTCAAGAAGCATACATTGACAAGGTTGCTCATCAATTTGATATTGGCAACTGCGCTCCCATCGGCACGCCGATAGAAACCTCACCGCTTCCAGAGAACAGTCCAGACTACACGTGCCCTCCAGATCAGAGGACCTCTTACCAACGCATGGTCGGATCTCTGATGTACATTATGCTTGGAACCAGGGGGGACATCGCGTACGCAGTCTCTGTGGCGAGTAGGTCTCTGGCAAATCCTGGGCCCCAACACCTGAAACTCGCTCGACGCATCCTGCGGTATCTCAACGGCACAAAAGGCCTCAGGCTCACATACAAGGGTCAGCCCCAGATGCTGAAAGGCTTTACAGACGCAGATTGCGGTGGATGTCGCGACACTAGACGTTCAACAGCTGGATACCTTTTTAATATCGGGAGTGGAGCAATCAGTTGGCAATCGAAACGCCAGGGCGTCGTTGCTCTCTCAACGTGCGAAGCCGAATTTCTCGGGCAGACACAAGCCACCAAAGAGGCAGTCTGGTTGAGAAGGCTTCTCAACGAATTGAATATGAATCAAGGATTAAACGCCACGATCATCTGCGGGGATAACCAAGGGGCCATTGCTCTCTCCTCGAACCCACAATACCACTCTCGCACAAAACATATGGAAATCCAACGCAAGTGGCAGGGAGAGGTCCAAGACAACGGAACAGTGAAGCTCAAATATATCCCAACCACAGAACAAATTGCTGATGGGTTCACCAAACCCCTTGCTCGGGAAAGATTTGAGTGGTTTCGGAAAGGGCTTGGCGTTGAGTGATTGCTACACCTTATTTGTATTGAACAAGACTAAGGCGCAGGGTACCCTTTCCTTCCTTTCTTCTCAAATGAAGTTTTTGAAGGTTTTAATGGGACCCGTCACAGCCGCGATCACATAGTCACTGACACCATTGGTGATGGTGGCCATCGAGTGGGAGTGTTGAGTATCGCGGTGGTCAACGCTTATGGCAGGACTAGCGATGGACATTTAAATAGACGGGGTTCCCACTTTTGATAGTAACCTCAACAAGAACACTACAACTACCTATCTCAACAGATGTGTTGATGTGTTGATGTGTTGATGTGTTGATGTGTTGATGTGTTGATGTGTTGATGTGTTGATGTGTTGATGTGTTGATGTGTTGATGTGTTGATGTGTTGATGTGTTGATGTGTTGATGTGTTGATGTGTTGATGTGTTGATGTGTTGATGTGTTGATGTGTTGATGTGTTGATGTGTTGATGTGTTGATGTGTTGATGTGTTGATGTGTTGATGTGTTGATGTTTGATGTTGATGTTTGATGTTGGTGTTTGATGTTGATGTGGTGAATGGTCGGGCGGTGAAGGGAGTGCTGGTCACCGTCTCACAGAGGCAACGCGGTCTCTTGCCATGTCCCCCACATCATAGAACCTTCAATTGCCTTTTTTTTTTTTTTTTTTTGATCCTGCAAAGCAATTTTGATCCCTGTTGGTCACACCTTGACTATGGCCTCGAAATAATTGTGCAACTCTGATCACGCAATATACTGTACACTCAAGATCAGAACTAGGAAGTGTAGAGCCATGTGATGTATTTCGTAAATCCGAATCACGGGCTCAATCCAAGATGATTATGCGATAGGCTCAGTTTCTTGCGTCGCCAAAGAAATTGCTGAGGTGACTATTGCTAGTCACTCGAACCTATTCTACACTAGAATGCCTACATTATAGAGCGATTGCGAGATTGAGAGTTTC